ATTAAATGATGATGAGCAATTTTGGAAATTAAGCAATGATAGCGAAAATATTCTCTTTTAAATATTATAAATACAATTAAAAGACAGAGCGAGAGATCGATAGGTAGTTCGAGTGCTGTGTTCCCATCACATCTTTTTCTATTTTCAAAACATCATATTCTTCATATTCACTAAAATGCTCATACACATTGGGGTTCTCTCTTTTATTTCTATTGGTACTCGTAATTACTAATCAGCCACTGCTGCTCGATCAATTTTAAATATCTTGATATTTGTTTTTCATTTGTCGTTTTGCACATATATCTACATAATATTTATTCAATCGTTTACCTTCTACATTGTTTTCTCTTTTTTTCTCTTTCATTCTTCATACATCTCTTATGTCTAACACTAATTATTGACAAATAATGCTTCTATTTTTTTTGTTCAATGTTTTTATAGGAACTCGACGAAAAATTTGCACGTGAAACATTAAAACAGCGAGACTTTTATTTTGATACTCCACCAACATCAAATTTTGGAACATTGAATTGAATTGAATATAAATAAAAAAAGACAATCGAGGAAATATTCCTGCAATTTATTTATGAAGTACTTTTAGCTTATTGAATTTACTCATATGTTTGTTTTTTTCTTGGTTTCATTTCTTCTTTTTTTTTTTTTATATTTCGTCTACAACTTGTCCATGAATTCCTTTTTTTTTTTCTTATCCACTGAGCCAAAGACTCTTTCGCTTTGTGTATATGCTTATCCGTCCTTGTTTGTAATCAAAAGAAAAGGAATAAAATACAAAATGTGTCTTGTTCAAAAAAAAACTTTTTCTGTTCTTTTTTTTTTTTGTATCTATTTGCCTTTTGAAAATTCATTAATAGGCTATTGTGAATTTCTTGCATGAATCTATATCGACTGAAAGAATATATCAGTTTTTTTCTCTTTTTTGTTTGTTCGACTCATTTTGTCAGATAAGTCTGCATTCATTTCATATTTTTTTTTTTCATTGTTATTTCAACATATTTATGTCTCTCTATCATTATTGACTACCATTCTTTGTCTTTTTGTTTGTTATTATTATTCTTCCATATTGCTCATTCCATTGACGAAAGTAGAACGACTTCATATATATATATATATAAATATACTACTCTCTGGGCATTATTTTTTCTTTTGTGACGACAGTGATATGTTTAACGCCACCGCCGCCACGCACTTTTTTTGACCACCGCTTTGCTTGCGCTTCAGTGGCATTCGTTCATTTTTTTTTTGTGCGCTTAAAAGCTAAAGAAAATTTCAAAAAAAATAAAATTCTAGATTAACGAAAACAAAATATGATATATTTAAATTTTCTTTCTTGTTATAATTTAGATAGATGTTTACAATTAACGCAACACTTGGCTTAAGTTGGGCAATTTTATCTTTTGGATTTTTTCTCTTTATTCGTTATGTAATACATCCATTAACTTATGTTCGACTATCAAATAATAAACAAAATAATTCTACAATACCATCACCATATATACGAACATGGTTAACATATTTAGATGAAGAACGATGGCAACGATTAAATTTATTAATTAGTTGGTTACATGCTTTCATAACCGGTGTACTTGTTCTATATAGTTTTTATGCATATCCTGAATTACGTCATGATTTTGTTAAACATATTAATTTTGTTACATATTTAACATGTTCATTATCATTTGGTATGTTAAAATAAATTAACTAGTTAATATAAATTTTTCGATATAATTTTATTTATTTTAGGTTATTTTTGTTATGATTTATGTGATATTATATCAAATAGAAGAGGATCAGATTTATTTGAAATAATATTACATCATATTGTCGTAAGTTTCTTTTCTCATATATGAATTCATATGATTTGTTTTTAATCAAAACGATTTTGACATCTGATGCAAAACAAACAACTCAATAACTGCTACTTAATAAAAAAACAAACGTTAACCTTGAGAATGCCCTTCACATTGAAATCAAGGAGACTCCAAGAAAACAAAACAACAAAATAGAAAACCGATGTTTAATTTGAGTCAATGATTTAACATAATTCGAATTTTTATCGAATATGTACATCATGTCTATACTACACTGAAATGAGACAAATAGAAGCAATTATTTCTACATTTAACTATTTGCTCCATTATAAGTACAAATTATCCAACGAAACAAAAGCAAAAATAAAAATGATCATATTTAGTTACTTTGTTCTCTAATTGCATATCATTAATCAAAAGCAACTATGAATCAATATTGAGACTCTACAGCAAGATAATTGGACTATTTCTTCCTATATAACGATGACAGAATAAAAAAAACTTATTATAATTTGTAATAGGCAAGGAGAATACAAATAAGAATAACTGGATAATCATCCTTGTTTTTTGATTGTTTATCGTTCTTGAAAACAGTACAAACTATCAAACTGAAATTTTTGTCACAGATAAAGCATCAAAAACAAAGAAATATCTGTTCGAGGATAAAAAAATTTGAAGTGAATTTTAACGACTTTTTTTCTCGGAAATCTTGTGTTTTTATATGGCCGCATGCTTGTGTAGTACGACTAGAAATATGAAGGACTGAAATCATAAGAGAAAAATTTTCTATGAATGCATCTGAAGTTTATAGTAAAATGTTGTTTGGTTTTAAGCAAATTCTCTCTAATAATTCTTATGAATTAAAACATGATTACTGAGAAACGACCTAAAAAACTGTGCTAGTTCTCAACTAAATAAATCAACAAAAAAAAACAAGTATTGAAGAATTATTTTAAATAGGAAAAGAATAAGCTCTGGAATAGTTTTCTCTAGATCAAGACTAAAAAACTTAGTCTCATACATCTCGATTTACGACTCGCATCAAACCTTATTCGAATGAGTTACAAATTTTTTTGATGACATCTAAGACTATATGTCAGAAGTAATTGTAAGCTTTTTCCAAAATTTCACTTTTTTATGAGAGAAATACGTAAATATTTGATACAACGACCGATTTCTTTGCTTTTAAGATTGTATAAATCCAATTAGAAAGTCAGAAAAGAAAATAGCCAATTTTACTTCAGAAGAATACTTCCAAATATCATCGATAAACATTTCAACCTAATTGAATAAAGTTAGATGTGAATTGTAAGTGATTCAGATGCAGTCCTGTGATAAACTAGGATTTTCCAGAAAAATACCATTTCAAAATTTATTCCTCTAACATCTGTTTCCTGATTTTTGATGCTTTATCTATGATAAACATTTCATCTTGACAGGTCGTACCGTCTTTTAGAATAAAAAAACGATGAAAAAAAAATACTAGAAGGCATATCTTAAGGCATTTACTATGTAATCTTTTTTCTTACAGAATTTATTAAAATTTTTGTTTAAATCTTTTTTTTTTTGTTTTTAGACATTAATATTTTTTGGTTTAAACATATTTCGTGTATTAAATGTGGGTTATCAAATGTTTGCATTGTTAGCTGAAGTAAATTCAATATTTTTACATGCTCGAAAACTTTTTCAACTTTTTAATATTCCACGTGAGAATTTTTTTGTTCGTTTAAATATGATTCTAAATATTCTAACATTCTTTCTATGCCGTCTATGTATGTTATTTTTTGTTACAATTTTTGTTTATAATGATCGATATCGTGTAGGAGATTTTTATTATTTATTTGTAATAATTATTCTTATCCCAATTATGTGTATAATAAATCCAATACTTTTTTATCGTGTGTTGTATACTGATTTTCTAAAACGATATAAGTCACGTAAATTAATGTCATAAAAAAAAAAGAAATGAGTCAAATTTCTGAGAATCTCTTTTCTATATAGTTGTTGTTATTCTTAATGTTATTTGTATGTATATTTTTAAGTACTCCATTTGTTCATGAAACTCTAATAGTATTGATTGTATGATTTCTTCTTTTTTTCTTTTTTTGTCTTTTTGACTTTTTTTCGCTGAATATCAACTATAGAAATAAATATATGTGTCCTCTATAATCATCATATAGCGCCTTGTAAGAAAGAAAAGAAAATTATTTGAATGCAATCAAGAAATATTAATACTCAATGTCAATATTCGTGAATTAAATATAACTAATCAGCCTTATGACAGGCATAATATCTGATCATAATCATTACGTATTTTTACTACAAAACATTTAGTAACAAGTAAGCGACGTGTAAACACGTCATTCCATTGTCTATGTTCATACTAGAAATATATATGCAGTTATATAAAGTGACGTGAGAAGGATTTCAGAAGACGATTGAAGAAGGTGAATGTAATACTAGTGTCTTTTAAATTATACGTTCATCTTTTGATAGCTAATAGTTTTTTTCTGTTTTTGGATAAAATATTGATGGACATGATTAGAATAGAGATACATATCAGTTTGTTTACTACTGATATATCGAGAAGAAAAATGACTATAGATTACGGTGATATATAAAATATTTGACGTTAAATATTTTATTTGATAAATAGTAGTTCGTATATAGTAGCTTGACATTGTTTTAGATAAAATGAAAAGTCTCTCTATATGGATAAGATTCAAAATATTTTTAAAAAAGAAGAGTGTACAGATATGTTTTTCTTTCTTTTTTATTGAATTTTTCTATCTAATCAAGTTAAAGAAAATTTCATATCTCTTGAAACTAATTAAATAATTAATATTCAATCTACTACGACCTTTGTATTTTTTTCCCTTGTTTCGTATTATTTTCTTTTGCATATGAAAATATCATCACTCATAGGATCAATGTAAAATCATTTTGTACAGGTAAATAAGCGAATCAGAAACACAGACATATATCACAGTTATGGTGTGCACATTTGGAGTAATTCAAGGTGTTTTTCTTTTTGTACATACATATGTACTGCATATATTATTAATGTGCTCTATTCTCTTGTGTTTGGTTTTAATACTCTCGTCCATCATTATATAAACAAGGACACGCGTGAGAGGCAACTATCTATTTTATTGCTTTCGTAAGAAAAGAATGCATCAAACATCAACAGTAGCTCACGGCTTTAATCGCCAATCTTTTCATCGACAACCAATATCGAATTTGAGACAAGTGCCTGAAATTGTATCGAATCAAAACAGAGAAACTCGACAAATGGATAATTGTACCCCAACTTCATTCTCGGATCAGCAATCTACTTTCGAACACGTTAACCTAGGAGAACAAATTAATTCAACATTACATGATAATGTTCAACCACGAATTGAACTAAACCAAAACTCAAACGAGTTTCAACAACATTTGAATGAAATTATCGCTAATAATGATGAAAGTGGTTTTGCCAGGGACTTATTAGAAACGAGTAAAACTAATCACACTTCAAAACGACGTATGTACTTATTTTACATTGATTGTTTTTATACATATCATTTTCTGTTTTTAAAGGATCTAGAACTGCAAGTAAGGCATCGAGCAGAAGTCAAAACCGATTTGTAGCTAGACAATCTACTACAGAAATCAATCCTAATACTGATAATATTCCATCCCATGGTTCAGCATCTTTAGTCAATTCACAGTCAACTAATGGTTTACATGATTCTATTCGACGAGAACGAAAAGCTCATACAGTAGCTCCGTTAACTAGAATATCAGGACCCATTTCTTCTGTAAAATCAAATATGTTTGCTACAATTGCTGCTCCAATTGATTCTCAAACAATGAAACAATCTTCTTTAACACAGACAATACCCAACGAAACAATGAATTATTATCCTCAACCAGGTATGGAAATGAACAATTTTATGAACGGCGGTTATGCACAAGAGGAAGATGATAATGCTCCAATCATTGTGAAAGTTCGTTATGACCCAGAAGCTGGTGGGCTACCATCTGAAGAAGCTATTCGTCAAATGGTTAACAATAGATTACGAGACCAGTCCAATAACAACTTCATGAATGATCCAATTGTTCTCAATTTTACTAATAATACTATTAGTTCTCCAATTCCGCAAGGACCAACTGGATCAGAACCACTATATTTTAATCAATCTGCTCTAACTGTTTCATCACCGGTCAATCATCCAAATATTCACATGCCTGTTCCTCCACAACAACAATTACAACAACAAAACTTTCAATTATCACAACGACAGTATCCACAAAAATTCACGCAACAGCAGCAACGATTGCAGCTACAACAAAACCGACAACAACAATTGCAGTTGCAACAAAGACAACAACAACAACAACAACAACAATTGCAGTTGCAACAAAGACAACAACAACAACAATTGCAGTTACAACAAAAACAACAACAACAACAACAACAACAACGGCAGTTACAATTACACCAATATCAACTGAAACAAAAAGAACTACTAAACCGACAACAATTACAAATGCGACAAAGAGAACAATTACAACTACGACTACAATTACAAAGGAGACAACAACAATTACAACAGCAACGAAAGCAACAACTACAACGACAAGAGTTTTTACTAAAAGAGCAAATGCAAAAACAACAGCTGCAACAATTCCTACAACAACAGAATCAACGAAAACAACAATTTTTACAATCGGAGAGACAACAAATACAACAACAGCGGTATCGACAACTATTACAGCAACGGCAAAAACAACAAACATTATATCAACGACAACAACAAACCTTTCCACAAAAACAACGAAATCCATCTCTTCCACCGATGGGTCCACGACCATCACGAGCTATTGTTCCTATTCGACCTATGTTTATTAATCAGTCATCTGATCTATTTCCACAAAATAGTAACATTCGTCCAATACAACCTATTCCAATTCTTCCGAGGCCTGTAAAAACTTCAAACAATGTCTCGACCATTAATATACAACGATTACCGTATCGAAGTCTCAGCTTAACACAACCGAACACTCCTATACCAACAGGTTTTCATTTTTGTCTAGATTTTTGTTTCTTTATTCTTAACCTTAATCTATCAATCAATCAATTAATAAAATCATTCATTACACATTTTATTATTTGATTTTAGACAATGGTGCATTCAGCAGTTATCATCAGAAACATTCACCAAGTCTGTTTATACCAATTAATTTTGGAATGCCTACTGAGCAACAACCAATACCAATAAGCAATACTAGTAGTCGTTTTGTTTCATCATATCCATTACCAAGACCTAGTACTGCACCTGGTGCTTGTGAAATGTATCGACCATCATCGGCACTCGACATACCTGAATTAAGTCAAGAAAATCTTTGTGATATGCTCAAGTAAGTATGATTTAGAAAAACCGAAAAACTAGAATATTCGTTGAATCTGTCATATTATTACAGCCAAATTCCGGCTTTACATGGTCGTCGATTTCATATCGAGTATGCCGAATCTACTCAACCTGATGGTTATCCAATTCCATCACCGTTCGATTTGAATAATGATAAATATCCTGTACCGGTTGTTGTTGATGAATTACCAAGCAATATTATTCAACATGTAAGAAGTAGTAATAATCTTGAACTTCAAGCTGCATTAGATCCAGCTGGTCAAATAGAAAGAACTTTTCAACATATTGGTCAATCTCAAACAGGCGCACCAATGTTAAATGGATACTCACCAACGCTTTTCTATCATAACGTACTACCTCAACAAAAAGCACCGCGACATCGATCACTATCATCATACAGTTCAGATAGAATTATTGACACATATTCATATGAAAGACAAATTACGGAACTGAATAGATACAAATAGTTTCATTATCAAAGTAACTAAGATTTATGTTTTAAAGGTTTTAATAAATTTTATTATTCATATTTAGATATTAAATTAAACTTATTTGTTGAACTTATTTCGTTAACATCAAAGATTCAATAACAATTTGGTTAAATACACTTGGAAAATTTGGTTACTTTTATTTTTTTAGTACAATATTATGAGTCTTCAAAATTGAACTCGATAACTTCTTGTTTTCTGTTTTAATTTTTCTTAATATTGAAAACACTCTTATAAGTTAAAAAAGAATTTTTTTTAATAATAATTATAGATCAAAACAGAATATTGGATTTTAAGTTGATTATCATCTTTTTCGTTTCAATACAAAACCAATCTAACTTTCAATTTACAAGTCTTTGACACAAATATCGAGAAAAAAGTTAAAATAGTAATTCATAAAAATGAATTGCTAACACATAAAACATGGTGCAAATACAATTTCTACAATAATATAAGCAAAACCAAAGTGAAAATAAATCATCGAATACAATCTTTACAATTTTATTGATGCCCATATTTAGAGAAAACTGTATAAGAAACTGTCATATATATATAGAGGCATTGAAAATGTGGACTACATCAAGTGATAAGGATGATTTCGATCGTTGTGTCATATGAATACATTATAACGAAAAAATTAGAATTATTACAATCATCATATCTTTCTCTGACTTTGTTTTTTTGCGAAACAAGAAAAACAAAGTCCCTTGACTGAAAGGACAAGGTCTCGAAACGAAAATTCACCTGTATCTATCTGTCCGTAACAAAATTATCGTATGATAACTATAGTACGAGTGATTGTAGAGGATGACATAAAACATTACCTATGCATTAGGATTCAAATTAGACGAGGATTATTATCTCAAGACGAGCAATATGACATCTCTTTACACAATATTTCATCGTATTTTGGTTTATTACATAATTCAGTATTGCGGTCGTATATCTCTATACCGCATGCGGAGAAATACGAGTGTCATACCAAATCATATAATACGTCAACGTACGCTAGTTTGTGGTTGTTTACGAGCATGTCAATTTGACCTGAGAAGGTTTTTAAAAATGAAAATCACCAATATTAAGCTATTGAATGATTCAATCGATCGTTTAGTAGTATATGCATGACGATACGATATAATGATTATTAAGAGCTAAAGAGTGTGTCTGTATATAAAATTATGATAAACTAAAATCGCATTATTTGACGTTTTCTTCTTGCAATAGAAATAATACTAATATAACTAATTCCAAAATAATTCTATTGATATCGATATTATCTATGTAAATCAATATGTGTAACATAAATTTTATTCCAAACATATAGAAGATAAAGAATAATATGAATGATGAAAAACCGGATCATTCTCGAAATCGGTTTTTTTTTTGTGATAAACATAAAAATCAAGTTTTATGAAAAATATTGCTTTTGTGGAATGAGTCGCTATTATTTGTCATATTACTTCTTGCATTTATTTAGTCTACTTTACTTAATTCGCATTTATATCTAGAAGTACCTATATGTGCATCTCTATCTCCTTCAGTTTAGAATCAACTAAAACGGGTTTTGATGAATATTTTTTTATTATATTGAACAAATATTTTATAAATAATTGCTAAAAATTAAGGCCTGACATTGGTCTTGTTTTTCAAAAATCTATTTTGTGTATTGTAAAAAATTCTAACAAAACAATACAATATGTTTATTTACTTCTAATGAGACGTTTATTTGCTCAATTGCAACACGTACTTTTTCGTTGGGTATTGCTTAGATCTTGTTCAAATATTGAATAAGAAATTCTGGCATAAATATAGATAAAAGTAATGATTTATTCAAAATATTTGTTGATAATTAGACACAAAACTATAGATATGAGTTCATTTTATTTCGTACGTTTATTTACAAGAATGAGAATCTCATTGAAAAATAATTATGATCAATGACTTTTTGTATTGATATACAATCGTATGAGGTAATAGATGTCATCAACATCTTTTTCTTTTTCTAATTACGCTGCTTAGAATTTAAAAATAGACGATTCTTAAGTTTTGAGAAAGCATTTTTTTCTCTCTTGTGAAAAAAAAAACTTTTGCGTAGAAAACACGACGGTAAAGAACAACTGACATTTTCATCAGGAAACGATTATTTGCTTGAAAAAAAGTAAAAATTAAATTTCATCGTTAATAATAAAAATTCTCATTTGTAATATTTTCTTTTTTTTCTTGTTCTTCTGTAGAACCATTATCGAACAAACGCGACAAGAGTTCTTTTTTTCCTTTCTATTTGTGCTCAACGATCCTATTTCAATCATTTATTTTTCTTCCCATAAACTAGATATACTAAAGAAAAGCACAAGAAAATCAAGATATATTGTTCATTTCGACAAAAATTTAGTTGAAGTTTACACCAATCAATATGGGTAATAATAATAGTACGATAAATATAACATTTGATCGACCACAGCCAACTATTTATTATGGTGGAGATATTATATCGGGTCAAATTAAATTTACAGTTACAGAACGTACAGATAAAATCCATGATATTTATTTAACAATTACTGGTGATGTTGGTTATACAACAACGCGTACAACTCGCATGCAAAATGGACAAACAGAACGAATAGTTGATCATCATGATATAAGAATTCTTGGAGAAAAATTAGTAATACGTCAAGCAATATCTACTCAACAAGAACAAGTTGATGGAAGAATAAATGAGCAAACAACTTTTGAACCAGGTCAATATATGCATCCATTTTCTATTCGTTTACCTGATACTTTGCCTCCAACATTACATCCAATTGATTATCCATTTGTTCGTTATGAATTACAGGTAAAAATTACTGGAAAAAAAATATCTATAAAATAAAAAGCTTTCTTTTTTATTTTCTTTTTTCTTTATTTAAAATGAAAAGCTTCTTATTGAAAAAAAATGGTATTGTTCAAATATTCATTATCGTTATCCACTTCGTATTTATCCCCGAGTAAATCTTCTTCAAATGAGTAATTCTCAATGTGCAGTCAAATTCGATACAAAACGTAAAGATATTACAATTAAAGGTGTTATACAACGTTCTGGTCTTGTACCTGGTGAACAAACAATTTTGTCACTTGAAATTTATAATCCAAGTCATTTAACAATTAAACGTATTGATATGTGTCTTATTCAACGTTATGAAATTGAACAATGTCGACGTCGCTTAGAACTTCTTCGTTTTTCTGTTCCTCAATTATTTAATATAAATGATAAACATATTACAACTTCATGTCCGATTAAAATTCCAATGTATATTGCACCATCATATAATTTCAAGAAAACAGATAGTCGTTCGAATATACTTGTTACGATACATTATGATATAAAATTAGAAGTTAAAATTAAAGGTCTTTTTTCAGATTTTGAATTACAAGTTCCAATAATAATTGGTACTGATCCAACAGAACATTCAAGTTATGTTGATATGACAAATACATCAACAATATCAATGGATTTAAATACAATGGATACGATGGAATCAAAAGATCATGATGATAACAATGTTTTATTGTTAGATGAATCAATGGTGCAACTTCTAACTGATACAAAATAAAACATCATTTGATTAAACTTAATTATAAAAATAATAAAACATTGTATTGATAAGCCTTTTCTCTTTATGCTTTTTGTAATTTTTGATCGGATTGTGATACATATATAACCAGTTTCTTTAATGTTTTATGGACATCGTTTATTCGTATTTAACTTTGCATAACTACTGAATACATTATTGTTTTGTTCTTCTTTTATTTGTTTACAATATACTTATGGTATACATAAAAATAGTGGTGAAAGCACTTCAATATCGTATAAAAAGGTTGATGAAACTTTTTCTCGATATGTTTTTATACTAAAAATAGTGTACTATATTTTTCTAACACTTTATCATTCTTCAATTGATATCATTATAAGAAAGTTTTGAGTGAAATGCTTATATAACTCATAAATAATGAAATCTGAACATCTAAGTCTTGCGTAAAGTTTCCAGATCTTCAATTAACAGTTGAGATATATACTTGGTAATTGAAAACTCACTGTAAACACTTCAGAAAATAGATTTATCTTCAAACAAGTTGGTTCAAAGCTTTGAAAAAAAAAACACCTATAAAACATGCTTCGATGTATCTTCATCTTTTCTTTGTAAGTGTGCAAGTCATGACTGTCTATAATATTCGATCAAAAATTTTTCAAAATGTATTAGCCTACCTTTTTCTCTTTGACACGATTTCTAACATTATCGTTACATATCATGACAAATAGTTCGTATCGAAATTTTATTATTTTGATATTATTTACAGAATAATGAAATATTGAGAAAATGTAGAGCAGTATTTATACCATTAGTGCATGTAGAGAAGAAGTTTCCAAAATCTTTCTATACAATATACAAGTGCCTTCGTTATTATCTTTCACGTAATCGGTTCATAATTTTGATCTCAATCTTTTAAAACTTCTAACACAAAACCCTGGAAACTATGCATAATTTGATTGATTCAGGAGAATCTTCTATTTCATTCCCGACAGTATTCTTCAAAGAGGTATCTTCTATTGTGAGAAAGGGTTTAACAAATAAATTTTGATCACACAAAAATTCTTTAATATTCATAGAAAACGGTTTACATAATAAAAAACAAATTGAAATACAACTAAATGTTATTCTTCTCAATATTTACAGGCAATAGTTACTAATACATATTCTTATGTAGGAAACGACGTTCTGTAATGTTTTCTCTATTTGTATAAATTTCTCTACAAGAATATCTTAATCACTGAATAGTAAAACGAAAACTTTATTTTTAAAAATCTAACACTAACTTAATTGTTAAATATCGAGCATTGACTTGAGCCATGTTGAAGATCAACAAATTCAATTATAGCTCTGGATGAATTGTCATAGTAAATAAAACAATAAACAAAAAAAAAATGTTTCAAGATTTTTGCA